TATCACGGAAGCTGTACGTTCCACATCACATGGCACCAGCCGTGAATGCATGTAACACGTGATGTGACAAACGCCCAGGTCTTAGAGCGCCAGCGCTCCGATGCCGCCACGTCACCGCTGTCGGGGGAGGGGATGTCCTCCATAGCGCAATGCGTCACACTGCTCCCTCCTTAAGGCTGTTCGTCCCGAATAGCCTAACGGTGCGTCCCATTTCCTTTTCTTTCAAGGCTGCGTTTGCTGCGTCTCCTGTTGCTTCGGCTACTCCTTGAAGCGACTATTCCCCGGCCGTTACTTCCTCCGCTCCCATCTTATGGTTGCTCGTTTCGAGCAGCCCCATGATAAGGTGAGAGCCGGTCCAGGTGTGACGCATTGCGCTATGGAGGACGTCCCCTCCCCCGCCAGCGATGACGTGACGGCATCGGAGCGCTGACGCTACTTCGATAACAAGCCAGTCAACACTCCGCCCCCCTCCCCCGCGGTGACGTGGCGGCATCGGAGCGGGTGTCAGGCAACCATTGCCGCGGTTACTACACAGCTGGAAACAACTCTAGACGGTGTTACCCAGCAACACCTGTAAACAGTTGACATGGCAACAGGGAAACGAGGTGCTTTCCGTTGTCTGGCTGAGGGTTTGTGAGAGATCTGCACTGCCTAAGGAGTCAGTTGAACTGGAACAGTCGCCGAGTTCTGCTGTAGCGGAGAGAAGAATACCGGAACGAGAAGTGATAGTGTGAGGTGTAATAACAGTGACACTGGTATAGCTCCCGTATTGTGCTGTGAATGCGTGAAGACTACTGAGGACAGAGTGAATAGAATAGTGTGTAAACCCGTAACTGTGTTATAATTAATTGTAGTTACGATCTTTAGGTTGTTAAACCAATTAACAATCCGAACTACGTCTTCAGTAGGAAAACAAGTTACAATATTAAAGATGAGCAGCGACACACACACACACACACACACACACAGGGAGCCAGAATAATACATGAACGGTGCTGAAAACTAGAAATAGTCGCTGCAGTACATGTAGACACAGAGTAGGTATCCCTGTGATTTAAAACTTTAAATTTTGAATTTTAAATTTTAAACTGGAATTCTTAAATCAAATTGACGAGCGTATGTTGGTGAGAGTTTAAACAGAACTGACAGGCTGAAGGTTTAGATTTTGGATTGGGTGCAGTGTGACAGCTACGTAGCGAAAAATACACATGATGATGGCCAGTTACGGCCGAAACATGTAGTGTAGAGGAAAAAAAGACAAAGAACTACAACCAAATAAGTTGTTGCATTCACGACGGCATTTGCATTATTACATATAGAAGTGTATAGTGCAACAGGTTACTTAAATATAATTTAGTCAACGTATTTTCATTGAAATCATATGTTGTTGATTTGATTCATTGCAGACATTTTCAGGAATGACAGAAAAATAAGAAGTCTTGGGAAGAACTAATCGCCCACTTTCTTTTGATACGACACGGACCTCATAGAAAATGTGCTTACAGTTCTTCTGTTGTGTGTTTTCTCTGCCGCCTTAACGTTTTTATCGAGCCGTTGCTTAGCGACGATAGGGGGACACACACAAACACACAGACTGATGGTGAGATCTGTGAAGTACGCCGTTGAGATGACCTCAGGTGCCTTGATGTATATACCAATTAAATGTTGTGTTCGAGGGTTTGCAGTCATACGATAGTTCCTGATAGCAAGAGAAACAAACTGTGAAGATGACAAAGTTCTGTGGTGTGGTATCGTCTGAGAAAACTTTCCTTGAATTGGACTCGCCCGCCTCGATTGTGAAGTGGCGATAGCACCGTATCGGGATGTCCGAGTATCGCAAATCCCCATGTGTTTTGGGCGCAGACCGTGTCAGAGGCGCATGCGTGCATTGAAGTCATCTCCACGTACAACCAGTCGACGTATACGAGGGAGAGTCGGTAAATAGGTCACAAGTGGATATAAAACGTAACACATAACGGTATTCGAACCCGAAAGAAATATTTCTCGACATGTTCAACACTGATACACTTGTACCATCGCTTTACTATTGCGTTGAAACCGAAGCCTTTTAACTGTTGGCTCAGCCGCTTCCATACATCGGTTTCAACCTCTTTGTGATCCACAAAGGTGGAGCAGCATTACGCTACAGACCCTTGGCACTCTAAGCAGGAAACATTTATTTATGAATATTTTTTGCATTGAATCCTTTTACACATAAAACGCACAACACAATGTTGCTCTTCGGTAGTGTACTCAAGCACTGTCGCCATGTTTACTACTAAAACCAGCCTCTGAACATAAGCATGCGCGTCTGCTACTAAGACTGTCATGAAGCTGGACCCTGCTGATGCACATAGAAAATGCGTGTATGTTACGTCCATTGCAGTCGTTTTGCTTCAGTCTGTGAGCTATTTACCGACTCCCTCGCATTAGAGAGCCGACATAGCGCATTTGGTATAGTGATTGGCTACAGACTGGACGACCAAGAGGTCGGAGTTCGAGTCCCTGTGAGAACAATTTTCAGTTCTGCATGTCGTCCAGACCGGCTATGGTGCTCGTTCCCCGGGACTAAAGCGGCCGGGAGCGTGAAGCTGACCACTCACCTCCAAGTGCCGAAGTCAAGAAAACATGGGTTATACATCAGCACCCCCATTCGTCTTCATGGCGTGGGGCTTAATTAGTTGAGCACAGAAACAACTTTTACCTTCGTATTGTCTGTGATTATAGCTAGCCACCTTTCTTATTTTGATTGTTTTATTTGAATCGCACGTTCTTTAGTCCGGAAAATGTGTTGGTCTAAATGCACGGGCTTAATTCCCCAGAGATAATTACTCCAGAAACAAATTGTCGCTTGCAAGAAGCAGCTGCTTTGCTGAAGTAAGTCATGTTTAAAAAATTATGAGGGGGGGGGGAAGAAAATATATCTGTTTTATTGTATGGAGGCAAATTTTTAAACACTTGTGTGTTTAGCATAACAGTCGACGGACCCCTCATAATGTGGTTGGTACGTCTCGAAGTACAGTGTAGATAAAGCAGAACTGAATTGGCGAACCTTCCGACATTAAAACTCGTGAGGCCACCCTAACAGTGAATACTCCATGTGTTAGCTTGTTTTTGTCGTTCTTTGACGGCGTGTGACGTGACAGAGGTGACAGTTCGGGAATTCGTTGATTGGCCCTGCTACAGTTGGGTATGCATGCAATTAATGCTTGCTCCAGGAACACCACATGAGATAATTTTAAGCATAAATTCAGTCCTGTAAATAAATTACAAACAAATCGAAAGCAGAACTTCCGTCACTTCTCCTATAAGCCTTCGGCACGGACCACGCACGGAAAAAACAGTTCTGTTGTTGCCTAAGGGAGACCACAGAGAACAAGTCACGTGATTCCTAGCCAGCGCCTTCATTGGTGCGCTGTTGCCTAACAACGCGCAATAACATTCCTCCACTGAGACATCTTTCGTTGTTCCCTTGTGTGTATTCGGTCGCGGGGTGTTTACTGGACCTCTACCGATCAACGCTTTGGCCGTTGACGTTACAATACATAAATATATCCATTCACAGCTGTAGCTGTTAGTATCGAGGATGTGGTGTATGTGGAAACACATAGCAGCACACAGTACGGTATTTTTTGAGAACTGAGACAAGGACTTAAAACTGATAATTTCAAATGTAACTAATACATTGTGACATGTCAGACCGTTGTTGGGCAACGGGAAGTGGAACGAGTTACCACGAAGACAAGACTCTTGATAAACGGTCGGTTGCCAAGTTACGCAACAGTGGAACGAGGTTATGCAACAGCAAGGAAAGCGGCGTTTCTCCGTGTCGTGCCGAGCCTAGCCGAGCCGAACAGCGCTGGTTGCTACGCAGCAGTAAACAAATCTCGGAAGCGTTACCAAGCAACGCCTCTGTAAACACGTCACGCAACAGTGGTAGCTGTTATGTAACTGGTTTCTGTGGAGTCGGTGCTGGGCAATCGCAACAGTATAGGCTGTTTTCTGTGTGGTCAGTGCAGAAGCCATATAACGAGTATTCGGCAGAACAGAAGTGTGTCATACAAAATCAGGAAAATGAGAATGTTCGCAACATCGGACAAGGTGAAGCCCAGCACAGAAAGTATAAGAGGCTTAAACTTGGCGGGAGTCAGGCATACTACTGTTCAAGTGACTACTAGACTGCCATGTTAGCGAATACTGCTAGAAATAGGGCAAAATCTGCTGTACTGAGCCTGGATTGACAGAGGCCTTGTATATATTGTACATAGAAATAGGAACTAAGATTAAATTTGTAAATATATGTAAATACTGACAGTGGACTTATTGACACAGACAAATGACAGACCCGACCTCTCGTTAGAGAGGGCGTCCAAATGAACAGGACAGTAACTTTCATATAAGAAAAAAAAAATCTGGTCATGAGCCCCAGTTGGGGCTCGACACCAAGACAGACTGACTGATGGACGGACCGTCAGTCGCAATGTGACTTGGACGTGGGCAGAAGTCGGTTAGTCAGTGTTAGTCATTTCTCGGAGTGAGTGTGAGACAGCCGCGGGGAAGAAGAACTGAATGCATGATTTTATGTGTGATAGTCAGTTATAGTTTGTGATAACTGAGAAGGTATTGGGATTGTGTAACTCAGTGACACTTGTACATATAACTGGCGTGAAGACTACTGAAGATAGAGTGAAGAGATTAGTGTGTAGGCTTTGTAAATTGTGTAAACCCACAACAGTGTTATAATTAATTGTAGTTACAACTTGTAGGTTGTTAATAAAACCAATTAACAATCCGAACAGCGTCCAGAGTAGTCCAAACACGCTACAATATTTATCCCCCATGAGTGTGAATAATTTAAGAGTTCACAGTAGCAGACTATCGTGAGAGCTAACCTAAACCTACTGATTCTTTGGTAATGCAATTGCAGTTGGAAATGTTTTATGACTTGTCCAGTAGTTTAAAGAATCACACTAGAACTGGTGTTCTCTTCATTGTTGCAGGTGACCCAGTCCTGACGGGGTATTGACTAGGTGTCTGCAATTACTTGTGTGTGTGCGTAATTGACCCCGTCGCTGTCTGGAGGAAACAGAGGTTAGGATGGAACGTGAGTCAAACCCGATGCAGGCAATGTGCCGTTCGGGCTGTGGATTCTATGGCTCACCGGCGACAGATGGACTGTGTTCATTATGTTATAAGGAGGCATTAAAGAAGAAACAGCAGCCACCCAACACAACACCTAGCAGCACAGGCAGCGGCGGTGGTTCAGCTACAAACTTTGGATCCACCACTGGTCCCAGTTCTGTTCCAGTGGCACCGAGTAGTATTGATACTGCTCAGCCTACCATACCAATCATAGTGCCGCCTGTTACAACTACAGACCTTATGAAAGACGTGAGTGACCATTTTCCTTTGTTGTAGTAGGAACTTTGTATATTACATCTCTATGGTGCTTCATACAACTTCTAAAAGCATAGTGAACATATATACTTCTGTAGGACCTTGAAGTGACAGTATTGGTCCTTTTAAATATACTGTAACCATCATTGGTGTAAGCAGCAGAAGTATAGTACTAGGCATATGCATGTTCAGAATTGGTTGCTTTGTAACATACTTTACATGTGTGCATGGTATTTAACACTTTTCAGAATCAAGACTATGTAGTGTTGGATGTGCCTTCTGGTAATGCACATAGTATAAAGAAACTTTTTTAAAATTTTGTTTTCTGCATAGTGTAAAGTGGAGGTGGTGATGTCTTTTCATTTGTGGCCAAGATCAGTGGTACTCTTTGTGAAAGAATTTTGTTTTAAATTATATGTAGAGGACTGAGAGAGTGAGTTTAAAGTACTGCTGCAATATTTCAGTTGTGCTACCATTTCACTTGGCATTCTAACTAAACAGATGTTTATTTTTGGTGTTGAATATATTTGCAACATCGAAGACTTTAAAAGGCTGGGGTCTGCAAGGTTTAGGCATTGTTAAGTTCTTCATTACTTCATGCAGATTAATTTATTTTCAGTACATTTTAAAACCAATTTATTTTTAGTGTGTCTTGTAATCCTCAGTTGACTTAAATTTTGTTACTCAGTTTGAGTCCCAGTAGGGTCCTATCCAATGGGTACCGGGGGCTCTTTTCCCGGGGGTAAAGCTGGTGGTGTATGGAGTTGACCACTCATCTCCAGCTAGTACCGAGGTTAAAAAAAAATGTGGATTTATACATGCACTCCCCCATATGTCTTCATGGCTTACTGCTTAATTAGTTAAGCACAGGGACAACTTTACCTTTTACCCAGAGAAACATTTGGTATTCAGAATTTAGTGGGAGGTGTGATGCATAGTTCCAGTGTAGAAAACCGAAGTTAATGGCCGTGGGAATTTGTTGCGCTGGACACGCGACATCCTCTATCCCCAAAAGTTGGCAATAACTATGCTGACAAGTGGCGGTTAGTATAGTTCGCTTGCAGACCAAAGCCACGGAGGTTATGATCTATTGTTCCAGATTTCACCAGAGTTTGTTTTCTCTTTCTCTTCCTTCTGCATTGAATGTTGCTTCTGAATCGGCAATTAAGAAACTTGGTATAGTGTGAATCTTTGAATTATATCTGGCCGATTTTAAGTTCCTTGTGAGAAGAAAAATTAATATTGTAAATGTGTTTATGAAATCTTCTTGTAATGGCTAGCAGCATGCAGAATGCAAAGATGCAGATGATGTTAGTGGATACTCTTGTTATTCTGATATGGGTTAATCTTTCCAAAACTACTACTGTTGTTCTGTATGCAAACAGTATTATCTTACAGACAGTTGGTTATGCTGTCATTTGCATTGCTGTTTGCCATTTGCCTGTTTGTGATCAGTGCATGTTACAGATACAGTGAAGTAATGGGTGTTTCAGAATATTTATATTTCTCATTTGTGCAGAGTATCGTCGCCCAGATAGATTCAGCTCTATCATTGNATAAGAAATCCGCAAGCGAAGAGACCGTGAGGAGAGACCCTGAAGACGGAGGTGATACGTTCCTCCGAAACGTCGGCTAACACCACATATACACGGTGCCAAATCCCAGAAGACTGCTTTCTTCATAGTCACCGCCATGAAAGCCTCAGATCTTACATATTTTAAAGTTGTTTTGTGAGTGCGTTTATTTGTGAACTAAAATTAATTTCTGCACAAACCATGGATTGTGTAAGATTCTCCTTAACCACTAATCTTTTGTTTCATGTTTAACTTAGATCAGGGTTTTGTTCAGTATTTCTTCTAAAGAAACTTGAAAATTCCTCATCTGTAACTAGCATAGGTTTCCTGTTTCCAGGTATTGGCTGCGCCTCATTGTCGCGATGTAGAGAAGTAAATGATTTTGAAGTAATTTAAGCTCTGTGTGTGTAGAGGAACACTTTTCATTCACAGCCCTCCTTTTCAAGACCTTGCATAGTTCGCAGTATAGTTTCTAAATTTTCTGATGTTTTGGACTTCTGCTCTTACCTCTATACAGTTGGTATTTTCCTGCAAATATAAATTCGGTTTATTAAACTTTCAGGCTTATCCAGATGTGATACATATCTAAGCAACCAGTCCTAGTTGGTTATTATAGAGAACAAACGGTGTCTTCCACCATATTGGCTAGAGCTGACATTTCCTCCAAAACCATCACAACTTTTGACTGGCCATGACTGAGTTAGGGAATAGAGTGGAATTAAAAGCAATTCAAAGTGCTGTAAATTAATTTATTTTGACACTTCTGTGAAATTTAGAGACCTACTCTGTCTTAAGAGACATTTTTGTTTACTTGAATATTTGAGCAGTTTCTTTGGATTGCAGAATGCAGATGGTGAGGGTGCTGTTGGAGGAGGGGGAGGTGGAGGAGGAGGCAGCAGTGCTGAAAGTTCTGTGAGCAGTGGAGATGTTGATGATAGTTTTGATGGGAAAGACTCTGATAAAGAAGGGAAGAAAAAGAAGAACCGCTGTGCAGTTTGCCGGAAGAAGGTTGGCTTAACAGGTGCGTGTCATGTTTGTCATCACTTTCTGTTCTTGACCACCCCTCTCCTTATTTTAAGTGGCTGTGGGAATGAATTCCTCTTTTTTTCTCTCTCATTTCTGTCTCTCAGCCACCACTCGACTGTATAGCCAAGAGCTGTAACTTTATATTGTATTGTTTGATTCAAGGAGAAGGAGAACTCTCATTTGTATGTGGTACTAGAGGGGATAAGTAGCGCTGATATTTAAGAACAAGGGATATAAAAATATCTGGAAATATCAACTACCCATGCTGCATTCAGCCTCAAAAATAACATAATTATTGCTGCTGGTTGCTAAACAGTGAGACAAGTATTTTTTCAGTAGTCAAAAGGAACCATTATTTAGTGGTAAGTGCCCAAAAGACAAAAAAAATGTAGAAGTTGCAAGGGGGTAAGACGATTTACAGTATACTGCAAATTGTTGTAAAGCATCAATAATCCAAAATAGATGCAATGGACAGTGCTTAAGACATAGGAAATGGGATTCTGGTGTACTGAGAAATTCATTAGATTTACACGAGGTGAAGATGTGGATTGTCTTGGTCATTTTAAATTAATGACACTAACTGTTTTGATGGTATGCTTTTAAATAAATAACTGTCTGCTTGTATGAAACTGGAAGTAAGTGCCACAGGTGTCAGGTACATTATTAGACAAGTAATAGCCAGGAATGGAATAGGGGATATGAAACCCCATATGAGGTAATGTAATTTATATAACATGGGAACATTAGACTGCCTCTGTGGTCTAGTGGTCAGAGTTCTTGGCTACAGATCCAGAGATCCCGGGTTCGATTTCTGGCGCTGCCAGATTTTCTGAGATGTAGTGGGTCTGGAATTTGGCTCACTCAGCCTGGTAAGGATAACAGAGGAGCTAATTCAAATAAGTAGCGGCTCCGGTGTAGAAAACTGAAATTAACGGCCATGGGGATCTGTTGCACTGACCGTGCAACACCCTCTGTCCACAAAAGTTGGCACTAACTTCGCTGACAAGTGGTCGGTATAGTTTGCTTGCGGACTACATGCCACGGATTTTGTGTGTTTATTTTATGGGGACGTTAGGAAATACATATCAGAATTTTGGTTGGTAAAACCTGAAGGTAAGAGACCACTTGGGAGACATTAACATAGCTAATTTAGGATTTGAATTGGTGTTAAGGGAATAAGGTGTGAGAGGGTAGACTGGATTTAACTGGCTCAGGATATGGCCCAGTTGCAGGCTGTGGTGAAAATAGAAGTGAATCCTTAAAAAGGAATGTAGTGACTAGTTGAGTGACATTAGCTTCTTGAGGACTGTACTGCTTGGAGTGGTTGAAATGTTTATGTGCAGCAGGCTGTGCTTGGAATTATCAGTACCTCAAAACAAAGTGTAAACATGTTCCTGTGTGCAAAACAACTGGTGATAATTTTTCTTCCAATTCCAAATACGGTGGGTGCGTGCATGAGTGCCAGGAAGTGTTCAGTGAATATTAACATAATGATGTAGATTTAATTTTAGATGTTGATGGACAACGAAGTGACTCCATATAATAGAATCCTTCAGAAACTACAATCCCACAGCTAAATAAGTTCCCTGCCTTTTATAAAACCCAAAAAGTTCATTAATGTATTCACAGTATGAAAACTTACATTAAATGTATCTACTCATAAGTGCCGACAAGAACAGGTTCCCACAAAGTCTGTGGCAGTATATGGTGTTTCACCTGTGACAGAAAGATGCAATCCAGGAGGAGTATACCTATCTGAAGAAAACGTTTTACATTAGGCATTGTGTGAGAGTGAGTGCTTGAAAATAATTAAAGATGCATGGTACTAGAACCTGGTGTTTCACTGTGAACAGCATTCATAACCACAGGGCTAATTACATAATGCCAGTATAAAAATATATATATATGAATGGATTATGCAGCACATCTTAACTTTTTTAGTTGATGTGTATGATAGACTCATGGATCTGCAGTTGCTGTTCATAACTAATGAGGCATTATGAACGGAAGATGTACTTGTATGAATATGGAGTGACGAAAGTCTTCATGCTGTTCGAGTGCCATCACACAGTGTAAAAGTAGGGGTGTACTCTTTAGCATGATATTTTTTTAAAGCAAGTTGTGGATTCACATAAATATATGAATGAAGTACTGAATTATTTATTCAATCAGCTGACAGCTGAAAAAGAATGATTGGGTGCCTCCAGCAAGATAATGCTATAGAACAGACTGCTGCAAGTCCTTGAACACTATATGTGAGGTGTTGGAGGTCAGAGTAGTCAACAAAGGACTCTTGGTTAATGTGATTAACTGTGAAGGAACTTGAAGAGAGAACCCTTGTACCACCATAGCTCTGGAGACTTCAGAAAGTGTCAGAAAGCTTGTTTATTTGCTGTGGTGCATGCTTGGAAGCAGAGGGGCACCACTTCCAGCAGTTCTTACAAAATGTAATGTTTGTGTCACCTTTCTACAGTAATGAGTTACAGAGTTACGTGCAAGCAGAGAATGATGTGAGAGGCAGTACTGTGCATGGGTGCACATTAAACTGCTGCCATGTTATTGCATGCAGTATGTTTGAACACTGTGCTTTTACAACTGGGTCCTGGTATGTTTTGATATTAATTAAATTGATGTAAAAGAAGAAAGTCGTCTTCTGGGTTTAGGCGCCGTGTATTTTTCGTTTTGGCCGACGTTCCTCCGAAACGTCGGCCAAAACGACAAATACACAGCGCCAAAACCCAGAAGACGACTTTCTTCATAGTCATCGCCGTGAAAACCTCAAAACTTACATGATGTAAAAGAAGTTTGGCAGATGTATGAACATTGCATGAATTGTGCAAGACTGAGCAGTCAGCATACTGTGTCATCAGGTTATCATGGTTATTTAATACACCTTTACTCTTGAAGGTGTTATGTGATCTTTGTTGTAATTGTGTTTCAAATTATGTAATTTTTGTAATCCCCAGTTCATAAATAATTTCTGCTTTCAGGATTTGAGTGTCGATGTGGTGGCTTGTTCTGTGCAGTTCATCGATACAGTGACAAACACAATTGCACTTTTGACTACCGAGAGATGGGAGCCCAGGAAATTCGTCGCAACAATCCAGTTGTAGTGGGCGAGAAGATCCAAAAAATTTGAACCTGTTGTGCCTAGTAATAGAAGTGATTAGGGATCAAATAGCTTTTGGGGTTACTTGTCAAGGTAAATGTTTGTTCTAAATTCCACCAGCAGTACTCTGCAAAAGGAGTAACAGTATAAGAAAAGATACTCCGGTTGTGCCATTTTATGATGAAACATCAAGAAGGACCACTTCCTACAAGACTTGCGGCCAGTGATGACATGTCATAGTTGCCAATATTTTTTTGATGGACAAAAATTAAGAATGGCACCCAGTAAGGAACTACAGTGGTGGACATAGTTGAGCTCAAGACTTTTAAAATCTGTGTAAGAAGAAAATGGCTTTTTTTCCCCTTTTGTTTTGCTTTGTTATAATCTAGTTTATATCAGATATGAAAATAAGTATGACACATTTAAGAATAAAGCAGAGCTTTTCGTTTAGAACAACTAATGAAGCAAGACTGTAAACAGATTGTGTTGAGCCAGTGGACACTACTACGTCATAGTGCTGGCTGTGTGTGTGCACCCCTTAGACCCTTATCCACAGGAAGAAAGTGACTTTATATGTGGCACGACATCGTCAGAACTGTGACTTGGTTCTCCCGTTTTAGGAAGCTGTCTTCACGTAGTCGTGTGTGCTGTTGGTTTGACCATGCTCTTCTTTTGAGCTTGAATATTGGAAGCACATACAATGTGCATAGGTTTGGTCATAGGACACCTAGAATCATCATAGGTAATGTGTTATTTACAAGTTTTCTTTAGACAGTTGCCTTCACAAAAACTTGTTGATTTTAAGAATTAAATAGCGAAGATGGGAGGAGTAAAAAGGCATAAGTNAGAACAGTAAAATGATTGCTCATCATACAAATTGGCATGCCCTGGCCACTAGAGAGTAGAGAAGTATGTGTGTTTTGCAAGTTTATTATCTTAAATTAATGACAAATTATAGCTTCTGTCTCCCTCCCATTTTTGAAATGTTACTGTATAACTGCTTAGACATTTTTCTGTCATTAAACCAAAATCTACAAAGAAGCTTGTCATGTGAAGAATGAATGAACTGTGGTGTAGAAGAAGTTGGAAACTGACAAGCCACCATGAAATTAAATTCTTTATAGAACTCTGGATTTATACTTCAATCAGTTTTGTGCAGGGAGCAGTTTTTGTGAATGAACTGTAGAAGTGATCTTCCTTGATATTTGGTTTACCTAAAATAAACTGGGTCTCATTCATTATGGATCCATACTACTTTGGCTTCCACAGCCCAAATTTATTCTTATCTTAATTATAATTTGTCTAAATAAAGTTTCTGATGTGCATTCAGTCTTGCAATTTTTGACACCAGTTACATGAACAGTTACAATTAAATTGATTTTTTTTTTCTTAAGAACTTATTTTCAAGGTACAAAAAGCATACACATTTCTTTCACCCCCCCCCCCAAACTTTCACAATAAATTTTTCCTGTGTGTTCCATTTAGCAGTGTGTACAATGCCTTCTGAAATATGTGTAAAGAAAGCAGTCAGTTCTCTTTCCAGTTTTAGTCCTTCTAACAAGCTTTTCAAAACTTGAATTTAAGAAACAGACTTCCTGTTATCAATTAGGGGATGTTGATGAGTGGACATTTTTGTTTTAAGTTTTGTTTCGAATCTTCTTGTTTAGTGAAGTGTGCATATAGAATGAACACTTCTGTTTGGAATCTGTGAATTTTAGGAATACTTGTGTATGAACAAATTTGGTGTGATAACGAGTGTGCACGTATGACAGATAGTGATGTGGCAGTGTTGTGGTTCTTAAAGAGGTTATAGTGGTGTGCGGCATGACTGTTATTTTGTTCAAAATGCCGTGTGTAGAGTTGTCAGTTGATTTGCGTAGAAGATGCTTGGAACGCTGTCATAGATGCCAGTCAGAAAAGCAGCAAGTTACTGTTTTCAGAGTACCTCAAGTCACTGGCAGACTTCTTATTTTGTTGTAGTCAGTTAATTCAAATGCATGCCATGTTTACAGGAAAATGTGACTTCTTGTATTTCACTTGCTCCTCTGTTCTTTCAGAAATGGTGTAATTAAGCATATGTGTAGATTACTTATTTTTATTGTTCTCAATAGTGATGTAATTTCACAGCATGAAACAGGAAGGAGTAACAAAGTAGGTGTGTTAGTGTGTGAGAGTTGATTTTAAATTTACCTTTGAAATGTAACAGGGCCTCGCTGTACCATTGTGGCCAACATATTTGGGTTTATTTCTCATAACTGTCTCTTTAATAAAAGTGAAAAGTATGTAATCTGATCCGTGTTTTGTTTTACAAATCATTTCATACTATTATGTATGATCTATACAGTGAGTATGGTTTTGAAGTTATAAAGGGGTTATCTCTTTTACACAGGTGTTACTAGTAAATTCCGTCCATAGTGTATTTGTCAGCAGAAATCCTGCCACATTTTCAGTCGTGACAGAACAATAAGTCAGTAATTTTGTCATTGGTCAGCCATTGTAAAACTAATCCCAGCTTTTATTGGTTGCAACATGCTGATATATCTTGTGTAAGTTAGACCTAAATGTCTGTTTCTAAATGAGCAGTTGGGATGAGTATTTTTCTTTCCTCAAAATCCTTTCTGTAATTATTATTTTGCTGTTTTGTATTATTATTTCAGTTTACTAGATGATTCTCATGAATTGACATTTGAATTCAAATGTGTGATCATCGTTATAGATTTTTCAAATTGCTGTCTGTAAAGTATAAAGAATAGAGAGGGATGTTGTAATATTGATTATATTGTATTTTAAACATTCATATATCTTAATTTCTGTGTTAGAACGTCCATTACCGTGATCATGTCAGTTTGTTGGTTCATAGTTTGCCATTCAGCTGAGTATTCATTGGTACCTGTTATTTACTGGAATAACATTAAATATGAAATGTCTAAAGCTTCAGTTCACTGTAAAATTTCTAAGGTTCAATTTAACATTTCTTTCTAATAGAAACTAAAGTTCTCTTACTAGGGATAACCCCATGCAGTTACTTGAGAAGCATGATGTCCTTTCTTATAAATAAGGTCATAATTATTTTGTAAATATGCTAAAATTGTATTGGAGGTTTGTTAATATAAACTCTGATCAGAATACTTGCTTTAGTCTATTACAACAGATGAAAGGGAAAAGATATGTTTTATTTCCTTGTTTCCTAAATATACAGCCTACCTTCTTAAGACATCTCTTTGTCAGATATTGATTTAGAGTACAGTTGTCATTTTATCGCTTTTTCAGATGACTTCCATGAACAAGTACACAAGTATGTAAAAACAGAAGTTCCAACCCTCGACTGTTTTTGTCAGATAGTTCTGTGTACCAATATAATCTTCCGAGGTGAAATTTGTATAATGGAATGACTTCTGCGCGTGAAGAAAGGCAGTGACTTTCCTACAGGCAGAGATTATGCTTATGAACAGAACTAGGTCATTTATGTGTGAAAGGGTTACAAGAAATATTTGCTTGGGTTTGTGCCATTAAATTTTTTTCCAAGAAGTGAAGTTATGTAACTAATAATAATAACAACTGTAAAGGAAAATGTTCTCATTTAACCATAATTCTGAGTTTTTAATTCATACGGTTTTACATGGAAAGTGGGAATTTCATGTTCCAGTGCAGTGTTGGTCATATTTTCATCTTCCCTTGTCTCTTGATGACTGTATTGAGCTGTAAACTCTAATTCTCTCTTTGAAGCAGTACTTCTATAGTCCTTAACATGATTCACTTTAATTCTTCATTCATAAGAATAGTTTAATTTGGAAAGGGGTATTTACTGTGAAGTGCAGTTTTGTCAGATGAGTCTACATTTACAAGCACAAATTAAATTTGTAAACGAAGATCATTTATACATGAAGATAATACAAGATACACAGCGTGGCTTTTTAGCCACTACAGACAATATATGAGGGAACATAACACTGAGCAAAACTAAAAAGTAAAATGTGCATGTGTGATAATGGGGGATAACCAAAGTGGTAATTTAAAAATTATACACTTACAGTATACTCCCAATTGTCTGTGCTAATGAAGGAGAAAAGATGTATTAATAATAAAATGCAGATAATACAGTTTCAGGTATGGCTGGGAGACTTTGGTGGCTGCTGAATATAGAAGTTCAGAAATGTAGCACAGCATCAAATATAATTATCTCAGAAACTAACAGACAACGGAAAAAGCATACTGAATATAAGAGTGTGATTTTTTCCTCTATGTTTGTCAGAAACATTTTTCACTGTGATAAATATGTAACGAATTGCACTTGAAATATATGCAGAACTCATGCGGGTCATCACATAGAGTGATTGCTAAAATTGTCCCCCTGTCTACAAGAAAACTGAAATAAAATTGTCCCCCTGTCTACAAGAAAACTGAAATGGTTTGATAGTTTTTGTAAAATTCCTATCAGATTTCATGAAGCTGTGACTAGTCATTCTTGAGTTTTATATGAGGACAGATGGACGGACTGATCAAGAGGCTGTCCACAGAGATGGGAATTCTTCTGTAAAGGAACGCTGAAAGGTCACAAACCAGATAAATTGTACACGGATAATCAAGAGTACATTGTACTTGGATTAAACTGTGGGGGGGTCTCATGTATAGATACACACATGATCTACTTCAATCTGCCTTGCCTAAAAGTAAAAATATTTCTTTTTCTTGACAACACAGTTGCTTGGGTGTATGTGCTTTAAATATGTGGGAGGGAATTCTTTCTTACCATTTATTCATATGTTTGAAATTAGTGCTGATCCCCTTCTTAATCTTTGAAATAAAAGAGAAAGACTCCCCTCTCCTAGTTATATAAATTTTGTGGAAACCATTAGTTGTGCAAATCGTTACTCAGTGTACATTTTTATTTACGCATTCTATTTCACGTTACATGTAAGTCTCGTCTCAGAGCAGTGTTTAACACGCATATTGTTCTGAAAACATTGTATGTGAGGTATTAATAAAAACCTTTCATTTCAATAAAGTCTTTGCCTTGTTTAAGAAGGAATGTGAGCTTATTGTGAATTTTCTTTCCATTTGGTTTACAGAAGTGTTCAGTTTCATTGGGACCTTGTCTATAAAGACACTAGCAGCATGATAGATACATAGACTTTCAAAGCATGGTGTTCTATCGTAACTGTATTTCACTTGTTGCTGTGCTTGTACGTAAAATACGGGCTTCTACCCCTTTTTTAGTTATATGTGCAGGACATTAGATTTGAGTAAATCATCCAGTGCAGTTTGGGTTTGACTTGAAATTTAACTTCATAGCCCAGCATATTAGTAATAAAAGAATGTAACAAGAATTTAGCATTTATAATCCATCCTTCTTCCCCCCCCCCACCAAACCCCATGATCTCTGAACCATCTGCTTGTATTATTATACTTTTTACTTAAGTACTGTAATTATTTTAATGCTGTAGAAAATGCATTTATTAAGCAAACCTATAACCATGGACAAGCCCATCTTCTTGTCTGAGAGGATGTTACTTAAGAACTATAAATGCAAGGCTTAGGTTGCAAAAAGAAACTGATTATGAGCCTCAAAGGGCTTGGTGCCAAGACACTCTGATTGGTGTTAAGCCACCAGTCAAAAAATGACTCTTAATCTTATCAGCCATCCTTGGTGTAACATTTCCCACAGAGGCAGATAGGTTGTTGCACCTTTCCTCATAAAGTGTATTTATGATCACAGTGGTCAAAGTGGTGGTTATTTGCTTCACCCTGTTCTAGCTCACCCCAAAGTTGTTTTATGCAATTGTACTTGAGATGATCAGACCAATACTAAGAACCATGTTTTTCTGAACAGAATGAATATAAATTAGGTCATTACTAGGGCCTGGATCTTTATGCGCTAAAACACTTAAAATATGTGCTAAAAAGTGGGCAAATATGCACTTAAGAAGCAGGTCACTTTATTCAGACTCACCTATTTACATGTATCATTCACAGCAGAAAGTAGCATCACAATAGGAAACTGGAAGTCTTTCAGTGTTTTCTGGAGACAAACTGTGTCTATTGTCCGTCAGAATGAGTTTATAGGCTGAGAATGATATTTTTACATCAACTGACATGATTGGACAGTATCCATACACTGGCGCCAAAGGTTTGGAACATTCATCTGGCAAAGATACCCTAATTCCACTCAAGTACTGACTAATTGACTGAATCTTTTTTTTTTTAAGTCCTGGGTTCGATTTCAACACCATTTCTAACTTGCATTTAATATTCTCTCCAATTTCACCTGGAGCAGAATTCAGTGAACGAGTTGAAGCGAGTTGTGAAGGAGTGCACCACAAAATTCTAAGCTCTCAGTGGCTTTTGAAACTGTAGAAAAATGTGCATGGATAAAATTCACATCTTGATAAACAGTATCACTTCCAAACACAACTTTTGCTTCATGGACACATGCATTCTCATCTTCAAGTTTTGTAACTACTTCTTTTACTTGATTGAAATTCTCCTGATAAAATGAAACTGCGGATATCCATGTCCCCCACATAGTTAGGACAGGTTCAGGTAGCAGAGGAACCTGAGGTAGGCAATCTTTGTAGAACTGGACATGAGCTGGTGCTTTGAGAAACAGTTTTTTCCCACTTGCAGTTAAATCGTTAACAGCTAGAAACTGCGCATATTTTTTCTGCAATACGGTGTAATCCATGAGCTAAACAGGTTACGTGTGTAAGATTAGGATAAAATACTTGTAAGGCCTTTGCTGCTTTCAACATATAGGAAGCTGCATCTGTGAGTAATACAAGCACCTTACAACAATTACAGGATTCTCAATTTCAGATGACCATAGTAGTCACAGAGAATCATTTACAAATCTTGCTATTGTGCTATGGTTGGTTTCCTCTAGTACTTTGCAAGCAAGAAGATGAGGGTTGCCGGCATCATCTGGATGTAGCTTAACAACTACGAAATTTGCTATGCATCGGCCACATAAATCGGTTGTCTCATCCTTAATTATCCTTAATTTCAAACATATGCAGAAATATGCTCTTACGTTTAGAATATGCAGTAACAACCAAAAACCCTCAAAATATGCATTTTCAAAAAAATCTGGGCCCTAGTGATTACCAATAATTGCATTTGACAGTTGAGTTGAGTATATTCAAAGCTGCATAAGCTTTTTTTGCTGTGACATATGCTGGCTATTGCTGATATTTCTGTTTCCTGCACACAGTTGACGTCTGTTTTTTCTATGCAGGTATGTAATCCATTTTACATTTAAAGGGGTGTTTGAAAAGTTATGAGAATACAATCTGTATATTTATCCAGAGGAAATAAATTAATTTGGAAAACTGAGTTCAGTTGGTATATATTTAACATTAAAGTAAAGAAATTAGACTTTCAAACTTGTCAAACTCTATGGAGTGAAGTCCTTGAGATGCCAGCTCAGGCACTCAAATTCCCATCATTTTTTGGAACACTGAAGGCTCATTTTGTGTTCACAAGAGCCTGCCACTGGTGTGGCCAGATGTATCCAGTCCACACACACACACACACCCATCCTGTTTCCCTAAGATCCATTTTAATATCTCCCCACTAACCAAAGCCCTGTATGTACTTATGTGTTAATGTCATGCCCTTCTCTTTCTCCATGACTGACCATTCTGGTGAGGAATACAAGTCATAATAAGTCCTTATTGTGTAATTTTTCTCTAGCCATCTTTTATTTCTCCCTCTTAGGCCCAGATTTTCTCAGATTTAGACATTGGTCAAACAAACATGTTGTTGGAAAACATATACCATTTTTTATTATTGCTAGGCTACTGTAATTTTAAAGAACGTATTGCCTTCATTTTTTGGAAGTATCTTAGTGTTATAAACGCAGTAGTTGGTGAAGATTTGGCTCTGCCCTATTCATAGAACAGAATATAAAATAGGCTACATTACTTAGTTGTATAAAGAAGATTATGTCCAAGCCTTGTTGAAATGAAGAAAAATTGTGAATTTCTGCGTATACACACTATATTTTCGTTATAGTATGTTGCAGAGAATTCAAGGAAGGAATTATGTTCCACAGAAATTTGCTCAATATATTATATATAATTATTTTAGGTGACTGGACTGAGAAACCAAGACCATAATAGACTTCAAAACCTAATACATCACAAGATTTTAGTTGCAAATGATAGGAATTATTTTATGTTAGTTGAACTGAATATGAGGCATGCTGCTACCAGCTGGAAGGTCGCAGGTTCCAGTCCCAATGAGGTGAATTTTTTCAATTTACGTAATTCTTCCAGCTGCACTGTGGCCCTGTTGTCATCTCATCCTCTAACAGAAATGAGTACCAGAAATCTTCCTGGGGGCTAAAGGGTAGCTGGTGTGTAAGGCTGACAACCTTACTGCTGATTGGCTAGAAAATGTGGGATCCTCGACGTTTCACAACCCTATGGGCCTTCATGGCCTGTTACAGGGATAGCTTTAGCATTTTACCCTTTTTTACTTCAACTGAATTCATTAGGCTAGAAAATTTATGTTTGTTTAGTGCCGATAAGTAAAATCCAGTGACTAGCATTTCATCCAAACACTAAGAAGTTTTCCACAATTCTAGAATGAACAGAGCTCTGTACAGGATGTCCCAGGAGAAAAGGTCATTATTCTGGGAGGTCACGGTCATTCTAAGCAAAAAAAAACTGTATCTGACCTGTTCCAAACAGTTTCTGAGATAGAGCTCTTTCACTGTAGTAATAAAGTACACTGTACAATGTACAGACGAGCAACATGCATACGAGTTGCAAAGTGCATTGATGTTGACTGGAATTTTCAAAAATGTATTATACTAGGTAAACCAACTTTGTCACTTGAACAATAAATACCAGTATCAGAAACAGTATATAATATTTCTTTCTTATCAACAATTTTGGAACTGTACAGTCAAACAGCTCTGTCTCTGAAACCATTCAGAATAGAACACGTTCAGATACACTTTTTTGCCTTGAGTGATCAACACTATGACCTCCCAGAATATTGACTTTTCCTCCTGGAACATTTTGTATATTCTATAATGTATCAGTCATTCTTATACCATGACACTGGCCCAGTAGAGTGTCGGGATCTTTTTGTTCTTCCCCTTGTAAACCACTATCATGCAACGAGTGCGGTCAACATGAAAGTCTGGTTCATAAGTACTGGGACTGTTCATGTATAACTGATGTAAACTGAATGTGCCATGGATTTGGTCAAGTCCACTAACAGAAATCAGGGATTGAAAGGGTGTGTGGGATTTGTCAAAGAGCTGGAGTGAGTCACATTCTGTAGAGACCAATTCAGATAAATCGTGAGAGAACTTAAACTGAGCGGAATAACAGGCAGCAGGCTTCGCCATATAGTTTGTAGTCCCTGAACTGGAAGCATTTATATGTATTATATGCACAACCCATCTTATGCTGAATTTCACTGGAACTGGCAATTGTGCACCATGTATTCTGTCAGAACAGTACTGCCACATCATTATAGCATATGGAGAAAGACTTCCCAGGCTTCAGGATTAACTAGGTAGTGTTAATATTTGTGGCTACAAGCTGAGACTTGATGAGAGAATGGGAGAGATGGTGTAGTGAGGACTTCATTCTTTGTATTCTGCATAATGGGAGGTTTATTTGGTACAAATTATAGTAGCAATGCTATTGTCACAGTGTTTTGTTCAGACATACTATAGCTCCCACTACTGTCATATTTCCCCTTATGCATGCTTTTCTATATTTTAGGTGCATTGATTTAAGTATCTACAATCCATTGAGCTGGACTTGAATATCTGACACTAGCTCTGTATAGGATGCCCAGTTTTTTAAATATTCACTAAACTTTACAATTAGAGTCAAAAAATGAAATCATTGGACACACAACTCTGCACACCAAACATTTTGATAGATTTTTTAAACTTTTGCATTGTAGGAACTTAATACATTATTGGTGTACTTCTGGACAGTGAGAAGTGTGGGAATGGGTTCTGCATGTACATGAGTAATGTATATGATCTGAACATAGTTAGTTGATTTATTTATTTCTAATACATAATATTTGGAATCAAGGTGGCAGCACTGTAATTCAGAGGACAGAACCTGTCAGTACTAGATGAATGTGAATTCTGCTGCACATGGTTCATTTTCAGCACATCCAATATGTTAGAATTACAGAAGCATGTTTTATCTTTTGGCACTCAACTACAGAAAGTAGCACTTCTCTTCAACAAAGCCATTAATTTAAATACAAACTCTCCCTTTTTGAACTTGAACTGGATGAATTGTACATGGTATTTACAATAAAGGTGTAGTAGTTTATTTCTCATAATAATCCCTACCTACAATATACATATAAATTATTAAGAGGTCAGCCTCTAAAAAGTTGCATTTATTTACATTAAGAAGACTTAACTGGGTAAAGTCTTATGTTACAGTGAAACCCTGATTGAAGAATTTGGGGTATTGTGTGGTTGCAGTTATAAAATGCTATTGTCAGTGCAGTGAATCTGTTGTATTTTTAAGGTTTCAAATCAATATTTTAGTCTAGACTGATTAATTTATAGTTGTAACTGGATTTTGCTGTAGCATTATGTCCTCACTTTTCTCCCAGAAAGTGTGAAGTGTAGGTATAGTTTATTATACTTAGTGTTACAGAGTGTTTTAGCCTTAGTTGAATACCTTCCTTTGCCCCTCAATTGACACACTGGCAAGAGTTCCTTTATTTATTTACATTCCTGGTTTATTTCTTTCTTTATAATACTTGATTACTTTTATCCTCATGTTTCTACGCATGATGTTATTTACTGTTTTTCATGGTAAAGTATTCATAAACTTGTATTATAGTCAACATCCACTCTTCCATTAAGTTACAGATTTTTTTATTGCTGCTAACACAATCTATTCGTGCCAATAATAAAGCTCCAAATAGATAGTATGAATCATGTAGCAGGAACCTTCCTAGTAATAAATAACATCATTATAGTAACATGACCAACTGGTGTACTTTAATTTCTTTTTATTTAATTTATAATAATTTGGTACACCTTACTCTAGCTTTGAACCATTCCATTTTTCCAACACAATTGGGGCTTTCATATTTCACACACATAAAAATACATGTTTTTATATATGTTATTTGATTTTGTAGTGAACGTATCATTTTGGGAAGTACACCCTAATAAGCCATTTCAACAACAATAATCAGCTTCACACATTTCATTTATTAATTAAAAACAAGCAGAATTTTGTATAAAAGTGAAAATTTTTCTTTGTTTAAAATTGTTCATGATTGCAGTTGTTCATAATTTTATTTTGAAAAAGTTTATCAGTGGGTTTTTAATATTTTAGTTCAGTCAGGTCTTAAGATAGAATATGTTCATACACATATTGTTTTTATTTATAAACTATATAAAATATTTGAAACAAAGTCTTTCATACATTTATAAAAGAAAATATATAAAACTCGCATCACGCCTCTGTACAATCATAAAAATTAGTACGACAACAAATAGTTGCCATATCTGTTCATACAATGGAGTTATGATCTTGCTGTTAAGATTATGAACAAATTATCGAGAAATTGTAGGATACCCAAAACATCATAGCACTTGTGAACCAAATTAACTTTGGTGTGTGCTACTTAAATCTGGTACCAAAATACAGCTGAGCTTGAATTATGAGGGGCCATGTTCATAGTGAATCAAAGTTAGAAATGTCGCTGCCCTGCAAAACAAAAATGAGAATTAGTTAACTGTAATCAGAACTATAGCAAAGCTTTTAAGTAGACACAGTCTTTCTCAAGAAGGCTGATAGCATTAGTACAGTGATGATCTTGACAAATTTTTTAGTTATTTATGGTTAATGGTGTAATGGCTTTGCACATTGTTTTCCATGTGAACAAGCACTGAATAATAGAATATGAATCATGGTAAAAGTAACACAGTAATGGAGAATGCTTTGAATCAAGTGATATTAGTAATACATTTTGATTAATCTGTAGAAGATAACCTAATTTCCAAAATGAAACGACAGTTGTTACTGTGACCTCCTCCTTTTGTGGCACTTCTTCAGAACTTCATACCTGGAGTGTGTTTTTGTTGTTCTTTGTCATATTACATGGAAACTCCACTGTACTGAGTTCCATGAGTTCATGTGAGATCACATTATGGAGTAGAAACTGTTAACAACAATGAAGTTTCTTCTACATTGCCAAGTTAATAGTCACACTCTGACCTCTGAAATACCTTTACATTACTCCACGTTCCACTCTGAAGTGAATCTCTGTAAAATCACTAGTGTACCCATGCAAAAGAATCTACGCTGCAGTTTAACAGAGTATTTTTGTTATCGATGGTGCTTATTTACATCTAGTTTCTTCAAGTTCTTGGACACAGACACACATTATTTTTGTGTTCTTAGAACAATTCTTGTAGGACAAGCTGTATAAAGAAAATAGTATCTGCACACTAAAGCAGCATTTTTCAAATTTCACACACATAAAATTATAATCCATATTTTTTTAATTTCAACACACAACTAAGTTATCATGAAACAAAACTGAAAATACATAATGCCATAATTTAGTACTCGTATAAACTTAGCGTTTTCATTCATAACATGAGAAACCTTTGAACATGTGTTGGCATCTCATGTCTCCTTATTTGTACAAAAAAATAGATCTTTTTCCAAAGGCAGCTCACCGAAAGAAAGTTTATTTCCCTACAATGTACCTTTAAGAGAAACAGGATAGTTCAATTTCTGAAACTCTTTTTGTTGTTCATAGCAGTTCCTTATATTTAACATCTCAAGGTTCTTGGATCCATATGCACAATTTCTGTGATCTTTGTCACAAATTAATTTTTTCTTTAAAAATTATTTAGCTGCGGTTTCATTATTGAAATTATACAGCATCAGTTGTAGGCTGATAGATGAATAATTATGAATTTGAAAAAGTTTGGGAAGGAAGAACTCATGATGTAATCAAGGTACTATCCTACCATGGATAGCTTGATTGGTATAGCAATGAGCAGGATGGCCAGATTTCAATTCTTGGCAGGAGCAAGAGATTTTTCTCTCTTCCTCAGCATTCAGACTGGCTCTGGGGCTCATCCAGCCTCCTAGCCAATTGGTACCACGGGCTATTTTGCTGGGGCACCAAGTTGATCACTCACCTCCATTTAGTGCCAAGGTCAAGAATGGTTGAGCTTTACTTCAACTCCCCCTATATTTTCATGGCACAACAAGGCCAAATTCAACCTTCTTTTTACTATCCCACCATGTTTGTACTTGTTGACTTACAAACAATATTTCAAACATGGCATGTCATTGTGCTTGTGGTGTAGAACCAGTGCTTCATTAATTACTGCCATCAAACAGAAAAAACATTTTTCTGCATGGCCATCATTTTGCTATTTTCAATTCTACAAAAAAATTTCCTCAGTAGAATTTGCATAGTTTTTGAATATTTATTACTGTATAGCATTACATGAACCTTTTGTCTTCTCATCTGTTGTCCAAAAACATAAAAATTAGAATATACAAAACCATAATCTTGCCTGTGGTTCTGTATGGGTATGAAACTTGGTCTCTGACATTAAGGGATGAACATAGACTGAGGGTGTTTGAGAACAAGGTGTTGAGAATATTTGGACCAAAGAGATGAAGTGACAGGAGGTCGGAGAAAACTGCATAATGAGGAGCTTCATAACTTGTACTCTTCTCCAAGTATAATTAGAACGATCAAGTCAACGAGGATGAGGTGGGCAGGGAATGTAGCACGAATTGGGGAGAAGAGGTATGCATATAGGATATTGGTGGGAAACAAGAAGGAAAGAAACCACTGGGAAGACCAAGGTGTAGGTGGGTGGACAATATTAAAATGGATCTTAGAGAGACAGGATGGGATGGATTGGATTCATCTGGCTCAGGATTGGGACCAGTGGAGGGCTCTTGTGAACACGGTGATGAACCTTCGGGTTCCATAAAATCCTGGGAAATTCATGAGTAGCTGCAGAATTGGCGGCTCCTCAAGAAGGGCTCAGCTCCTTGAGTAAGTAAGTAAGTTAGTATAGCATTACATGACACAAAATTAAGTGGTTCTAGTGTCCCACCTGATGATATTCACATATTCACAATTTTGTTGCTCTTGACTATGGGAAACTGCAAGGTATGTATGGTGTTGAGGTACCAACTTTTGTGAAACATCTGTCAACTAGTTGAAAATTAGAAATAGTGGGGACACAGCATGGTGATCTCATGTCAGTCTACAAATTGGCCAGCCACAAAATTTTGTTTTGATTCCTGTCAGGGGCAATTGATTTTTCTGATCTCCACAGCATCCAGATTTGCTCCTATCCAATGGGTACCATGGCTCCCTCCCTGGAGGTATGGAGATTGGAGCATGAAGCTGGCCATTCACCTTCATCTAGTGCCAACTTTACCCTCAACATATAATAGTTCAGATTATGGTATAATGTTGATTGACAGAATAAATAGTGAATAGTGAATTTCGTGGGATGTGGAAGGAAGTGGTACTATTTTGATTTGAGATACTATCCTGGCATTTTCTTGGAGGAATTGAGAAAAACCACAGAGGACATCAGATTTTGAAGTTGGAATTCCTGAATACAAAGCAGAGGTTCTACACATAGGACTATGACATTTGATCTTATTTTCTCTATTTCCTAATCTGTAGGATAGAGTTGCCAGAGTCTTAGCATCATTGTACTTAAATATAAAAACAGTTATGAATTTAATGTACATATTATAAAATGTTAATCAACTCCATCCAGTGTGAATGATAAAATGTTTTCTCTTTCTTTCCTTTTTTAATATTTCATCCTTGACATGTTTCGGTCTTAGAGACCATCTTCAGAAGGATATATATCAATACAGGCAAAAACTACTTTTACAATATGTTTGGTCAATATCAATACATATATACAATATCATCACAATGCCATGAATATAAAGTGTGATCCTTTAACAACTGCAGCAATGTGCATGAACACATTAAAATATTTGTAAATTATTACAATTGGTCTGTTTAAAGTGTCAAGATTTTGTCAACATTTTTAGAACCAATTTGGTTCATGTCCTTTACATTGCCTCTCTTTAAAGGAAGTTGAGTGTCTACCACCTCATGGTTCCATCGTTTGATGAATAGGACTCTTTTGTGTCATGCTGTTGTTTAGGCTGCGCTATATCGTTATACTGCAGTTGTTAAAGGATCAGATTATATATTCATGGCATTGTGATGATATTGACCAAACACATTGTAATAATAGTTCCTGTCTGTATTGATATATCCTTCTGAAGAGGGTATCTAAGACCGAAACATGTCAAGGATGAAAGATTAAAAAGGAAAGAAAGAAAAAACATTTTATCAGTCACACTGGAAGGGGTTGATTAACCTTTTATAATATTGCTAATGTGATGGGTCAGGATGAACCAAATCAAATGAATGTACATACCCTATCAGGTTTGTAAAGGTGTGTCTGTGGCATAAGTAATGTGGATCCGAGATCTCGCTCGGCCATTGTATGTGCTTCCTGAAAATAAAAACATGCATTTTTTATGCAATTAAAATATTGATCACTTAATATTTAATAACCACTGAATTTTTTATACAGGGTGTCCCAGGAGTTTGGTGCCATACTTCAGGAGCGTACTGAGGGTTCCCTATAGAATAACTTTGAAATAGGAACCCATGTCCGCAAACGTAAAATAGCAGCGCTAGGGCGGCATTTAAAATCATTTTGTTTAAACTTGGCGACTCAATGTCGAACTGCATTGCATAGAAGAACAGCCGTCCACCAGCACTAGTGCCATTGCCAAGATTTTGGGGACATCAAAATCAAGTGTTTGGAGGATGATCAACAACTTTATCCATATCATCCAGCGCGAGTACACGATGTACGTATGTCGTACTGAATGACATGAGCAACAATTTTTTGTAAAGTAACATGCTTTATTATTGACAAACCAAATACACCACCTCAATCTACAGACCCTTCTTTATTTTTCCACATAATCGCCACTTCTTTGTACACATTTCTCCCAGCGTTCTGGGAGTTTGAAAATTCCCCATCTGTAAAGTTCTGTTCCAGCCATCCGAAGACACCGACGCACTGCTTTCTGAATTCAGCGTGCTTATGAAAATGTGTGCATGGGTGCGAGCAGTGTTCGAAGATGGGTGAAACATTTTAAAGATGGGAACACCAGCATCGAAGATGAGCCTCGGAGCGGTCATCCTCAAACAGCCTCAACTGAATGCAACAAGGAAAGAGTGGATGAGATCATTGAAGATTACAGGCATGTGACTGTGGACACAATAGCCCGAAAACTTGGAATAGGGTACAGTGCAGTACAGGAGATGATTGAAAGCTTGGGCTATAGGAAAGTTTGTGCTCGTTGGGTCCCACAGTTATTGACCGAAGACCACAAAGGTCATATTGGAAGCAATTGCAAAGATGGGGTGGGAAGTTCTTCCACACCCCTCCTATAGCACTGATCTGGCACCCCCCCGACTACCATCTTTTCGGATTTGTGAAGGATTAGCTGCATGGACAACGTTTTGAGACAAGGGAGGCAATTCAGAAAGTAGTGCATCAGTGTCTTCGGATGGCTGGAACAGAATTTTACAGAAGGGGAATTTTCAAACTCCCAGAACGCTGGGAGAAATGTGTACAAAGAAGAGGCGATTATGTGGAAAAATAAAGAAACGTCTGTAGATTGAGGTGGTGTATTTGGTTTGTCAATAATAAAGCATGTTACTTTACAAAAAATTGTTGCTCATGACTTTCAGTACAACCCTCGTAGGTGCAGCTGACTTCGTACCATGAGTTCAATTTTGTCAGTGGATACTGAACCAGTGTTTACATCAGCCCAGCTTCCTGAATCACGTGTTCTTCACAGACGAAGCGCAGTTTACAAGGGATGGCTGGTTCAACTGTCGAAACAGCAATGTTTGGGCTGACGAATACCCCGTTATTGCAGTTGGTTACCACCAGTCACAATTTTCTATCAATGTCCAGGCGGGCATCATTTGCGATCACTTGATTGAGCCTTTCCTCCTACAACCACGACTGAATGGGCCCTTTTACAAGGTGTTCCTGGAATGTATCCTTCAAACTTTGCTAGAAGATGTGCCACTGATTGTGCAGAGACAAATGTGGATACAGCATGACGGAGCACCAGCACACTTCAGCAGTGTATCATGAGACTACCTGGATGCTGCTTTTCATGGTCATTGGATAGGAAGAGGAGGCCCAGTGCCTTGGCCACCCTGATCCCCAGACTTGACACTTCTGGACTATTTCGTCTGGGGCCATGTGAAAAGCCTGATCTACGACATGCCTGTGGATAATGAATTCAAGCTGTTGGCGAGAATACTTGTTGCATGCGACGTAATCCATGAAACACCTGGAATATTTGAAAGGGTTCACCAGAGTTTCTTTCGTCAATGTAACACATGCATTGAAAATGGAGGGCGCCAATTCCAACATTTACTCTAGCAGGTGCGTCTTAAGAGTTTGGAGGGGGTAATATGCCTGTGCACGCTCTTCGACATTGAGGCACAAAGTTTAAACAAAATTTGATTAAAGGCTGCCCTAGCGCTGCTATTTTACGTTTGCGGACATGGGTTCCTGTTTCAAAGTTGTTCTGTAGGGAACCCTCAATACGCTCTTAAATTATGATATCAAACACCTGGGACACCTGTATAGATTGCTTTTTGATGTGAAGTAGCTATGACAGCAAAATGTGTTATGATGATGCAATGTGGAGAAGATACTGATTCACATAAATTGAGTTTGATTGAAAGAAAAGAAAAATAAGAAGAAAAAGAAACCCGTAAAAGCGAACTTCACAAAGTCACTGAGAGAGCTAACATGTTTGCATTAATCCAGGTTGCTTCAGAGGCTTTTGAATGCTGTGTTTCATATATTTTAAATTTCGGAAAACATAACAACTTACATCATTGGGGTTCCTAGATGAGGGATTGGAACCATAATTGCTATTTAAGCTCTTTGTGGTAGGCTGCACTATTGTCTCGTCAAATGAACGTGCTTCAGAGACAGTCCTGCAAAGAGCACAAATAATAAATCACATTATTGTCTAACAACATGAGTTTGTTAGAAGTTTCATACATGTCACTGAACTGATACACAAACTGGAGTGAATTTTCTGTTATTTACTTTAAGAGCTGAAATTCTGTCTCACAAACTTCTCAAGTCTTTGGGATCCCTTGCTGTAGCAGATGCTCAAGTAGTTGCATGCCTTGTGATAATGTATTATGAACAGAAATAGAGATAAAGTGAAACTGGAGAAAAACTAGAGAAATGCCATATACATAAAATGAGTAAAGATGAACTACAAATGAAGGACACATATGTGGACACCCATAACCCAATATTTGAAGTGATACAAGAATTAAACAACAGCAACAAAAACACATTATTATAAGAAGAACCAGTTCAACTCAGCAAACATTCAGGAACAAAACATGCTGTAAAACATACAGCAAGGAGGAACATAATGCACCAATTCCAGTAAGTACACAAATAAGTAATCACATGACACATAGAAAAGTTCTCATACATTAATTTTAACAGAAAATTCAGACATGTTACAGACACATAAGTGCATCAAAGGGACCTGCATCTATATTATCAACAGAAGACAGCAACAGCAACACTTGATGATGGCCATATTGGCTGAAACATGTAGTGAACTTTTAAACTTTTGAAGTTAACAAGTTAGGTGAGACTTCTTGGGACGTGGTGTTGCACATAAGACTGTGAATAACAGATTCTAACTGTGGTCCTGCTGTCACCCTTCACAGGCTCTCATGGCAGTTTGCAGCTAATCTTGTTTCAGTCTTCAGTGATGACAATGTGTTACTTCAGGGTGAAGTGATTGAACAGTAGCTTAGTGCTGATGTTTACATTTTTGGGCTCTCATGCATTCAAATACTGCAGTCTGATCTGTTAGCAAACTAACACATTCCCTTCACCCAAGAATGCAAATAAAACTAACCTCAATCCACAGTTATGTTCAAGGGATTAGATGAAGTCATGAATATGACAGGAATTGACAGTAAATTGTTAAAGTACCAATACAGGTCCAGCAACAGTTAATGTTATTTATGTCAGTTGAATTCAAGTATTAAAACATAAACCCAGCAAAAGAAACTGCTAAGAGATATCTATAAGACAATGGCAAGATTTGTTTTATAATACCTGAACAGGTCCAGCAGGCATTATATGGGAAAAGATGGCAATGAAGAATGTACTGCACATTATGAATTCAGTCAGCATTTTTTTTTTTAGCAATGGAAGGATATAAATGAGCTCAGTTCAGAAATTTCATGAGACTTAGGATATTTCAGATAGGAATTCTGAAGCATTTGTGTCAAGTACAGTAGATTATGCATACAGTTAAGCAGAATATATAAGATGGTGCTTATGTTTTCTAACTATAGAGTAGAAAGTACACAGTGATATCGATATCTAAATAGCACTGTAGAAAATGAAGAATTCTGTTTAATTATTAAAAAAAAAAAATTCATCTATAACACTAACTTCTGATCGGTTTCCATCAGGTTTTCATATAAAAATTGTATGAATTTCTCTTCTCTTCCATGTCTCACCCATTTCATTCTTCTTGATTTGATGTTCCTAATAACATATAGCAAGGAGAACATATTATGAAGTTCCTCATTATGCAACATTCTACAGCCTCCTGTTACTTCCTCCCTCCTCAGTGTAACTATTCTGCTCAGTATCCTGTTCTCAGACACTTACTTACTCATGGAGCTGAGCCCTTCCGGAGGAGCTGAAAATTCTGCAGCTACTCAAGAATTTCCCAGCATTTTATGGAACCCGGAGGTTCATTACTGTGTTCACAAGAGTCCTCCACTCTTCCCTATCCTGAGCCAGATCTATCCAATCCATACCATCCCATCCTATTTCTCTAAGGTCCATTCTAATATTGTCCACCCACCTACGCTTTGGTCTTCCCTGTGGGCTCTTTCTTTCTGGCTTTCCCACCAATGTCCTATATGCATTCCTCTTCTCCCCCATTCGTGCTATATGACCTGCCAACCTCATCCTCCTTGACATGGTCATTCTAATTATACTTGGAAAAGCGTACAAGTTATGAAGCTCCTCATTATGCAGTTTTCTCCAACCTCCTGTCACTTCATCTCTCTTTAGTCCAAATATTCTCCTCAACACCTTGTTCTCAAACACCCTCAGTCTATGTTCCTCCCTTAATGTCAGAGACCAAGTTTCACACCCATACAGAACCATAGGCAAAATTACGGTTTTGTATATTCTAATTGTTTATGTTTTTGGACAGCAGACGAGAAGACAAAAGGTTCCGGACTAAATGGTAGCAAGCATTACCCGAGTTCAATCGCCTCTTAATTTCCTCCTGAATCAGGTTTCGATCTGTTATTGTTGTTCCCAAATATCTGAACTGTGCCACATTTTCAAAACATCTGTTTCCTATCTTTATGTCATGATTTTGCCCTGCATTTTGGTGATGAGACAATAACATATACTTAGTTTTCTCTGTGTTTACTTCTAGACCAACATCTTTACTTGCATCAATTAAAGTTTGTGTGTTTTTCTTTATGGTATCTACATTATCACGCAGCAGATTCACTTCATCGGCATAAGTCAACAGCTGATGTGTCCCGTTTAATTTCAGTTCCACCTGGTTTCCCTGGATCTTCCTAATGGCACATTCTAAAGTAAAGTTGAAAAGGAGTGGCGATAAAGCATCTCCTTGTTTTATACCATTCTGGCTAGGAAATTTATCAGAGAAATGTTTACCTATCAGACACACTTAGTTTATATTCTTCCAGTATTGTAAGAGAACAAGTGTCACAATCATTCAAAGTGACAGAATTATAATTTTGTGTTACATTTTAATTTTTATGTTTTCTGAGAGCAGAAGGGAAGACCAGAAATCCTGAGCTGAATGGTAGGAAGCATTCTCCATATTTAATCTATTCTTAACTCTTTGACTGGCGCGGGCGTGTTTTAACGCCCGGACAATGCCAGCCGTTCCCTGGCGTTGGCGTGTTTTAACGCTTTGACAATCTCTTCCCTTCTTTGCTCTCTTGGCACTCATCAACCAAAGACATATATGTGATAGTTTTTGTGCATGTTTGTAAAGAACCCTTGTAAACTTTGTGGGGGTCT